ACCAAAGAGCCAGAGCTCAACCCCCGCAAGCACAACTAGGTGCTCAACTAGGTATATATATATATATATATATATATATATATATATATATATATATATATATATATATATATATATATATATATATATATATATATATGAATTCATATAAAAAATATATGAAATAGCCTTGAGTTCCATCGATTACGTGTTGGAGGCGTTTTCATCTGACTTACATGCAAGTCTATTCACAGGCATGATGCCAGGGACTACTGCTTGAGCCTGAGCACTGACGAATACTATTCAGATCTGGCACAAGTGCACTCCTGTAGCCAGCTGGGCGCTCTTTGGCAACACATTACCCTGGAGTGTAAGAACCCAATTCTCATTATTTGTCCTCGAGTTTAAGCTTTATGTTACTTGTGGCATTTATTTGTTTATTTGTTCTTTTCCTTCTTTACTCACGTGTTTCTGCGTTCGTTAATTTGTTTATCAAATCATTCCATTATTACTTTTCTTATAATTTTATTCCATTATTCATAAAGCAACTACAGTGGACTGTAAACATTACCGCGTGCTCCAAATGTAAGAAAACTCTATTGAAACGAAACCTTCAACTTCAGACATCATAGGAGTCGTTAGCTATTGTAATAGGAATTCATCCTACTTAAAAAGGGGTATGTGGGTCGCTCCCAGACCCACTTCGCTCTATGACACTCCATTAACCATCACAAATCATCATGAAAAGGTGCGTGAGGCTAGCCAGGAGCGTCTGACTTCCAACCTCGAAAAGGCAGAGAGACAGATATACAGAAACACAGACATATAGAAATTTTATAGATATACTGGATAGTATACCCTGCTGATCCTGGGTCATTAGGAAGAGTGGAGATGGGTAGAAGGAGAGGTGGGGGGGGGGAGAAGGGAGGAGAGAGGGAAGGAGAGAGGAGGAAAGGGGGAGAGAGAGGCTATCTTCTCTATCTAGTCTATATCTATATCAATATTAGAGAATATCTGTTTGTGTGTGTGGTTATCTGTCCGACGCTGGAAACGAGACGCCTGCTATTAGCCTTACGCAACTTTGCCACATGAAGCATGTTGGGTAGGGGAGTGTCATAGGCTAGTCGAGGTCAAGCTACAATGACACACGACACACAGTGACAAGATATATATATATATATATATATATATATATATATATATATATATATATATATATATATATATATATATATATATATATATATATATATATATATATATATATATATATATATATATATATATATATATATATATATATATATAATATAATATAATATAATATTACTGGTAATACCATTTCATTCACAGATGGATTTAAATGGCACTGGATTGGTGGTAATGACATTGCAACAGAAGGCAGTTGGCACTGGGTCACTGGTGACACTGTGCAAAGTGGCACTCCCTACTGGTACCCAGGACACCCCAATGTTAACCACACGACGAATTGCTTGCTCCTGCAAATGTACTCTGGATTCCTTATGGACTGGCCTTGTGAAAAAGCTGGACGTTTCGTATGTGAACAGACCACACTGTTCTAAACCGCCCTAAACCTCAGCCGAAAAGAAGAATCATTTGCCCATGAATTGATATAATTTACTCTCAGTTTGATTAAGGACGAAACAGTGTAAAGGTTTGATAGTATTTGATCAGTTTAAACAATTGATTATCCTGTTGCCACCTCACCAACAAGAGTTGCCAATCATGTGGACTTATGATATCTCTTAATGCATCGACTGGTGCAATTGTTTTGTTAAATATTACTGGTCGTTTCAGGTATCAATGATGGTTTAGTTAGATACAACTTAACCATGCAGGATTTTTACAGAAATTATTAACTCTTGATTATCAAAGTAATAATACCCTTCATTATCATTAATCACTTTTAACTCACCATAATGAATGTTAAAAATAATCCGATTATGAAACTCAGTAAAACAAATAAAACTAATAAAATCCCAGATGAAATAGTTTATTGTCACCAAAAGCTCAACTTTTCAACAAGATAATTTAATTTAACCCAAATTTGTTTTAACCCACAACAGATTAATGATTACTTTTAACGACTAATAATCCTTTGACAACCACCGAGTATATAATAGCTGACACTCAACCAAGCTTCCCCCACAACAGACTAGTAGATCCATATTGGCTTTTCAGCAACCCAGAGGACATTGGGTGAGGAACATTTCCATCGGAAAATTCTCTCCCACCTTCCACGAGAAAAATTTTCACTTAGTAAAAGCATTTCCTCAGGCTATATTGGTATGCATCTTTGCAACAATAAGACGATAACAAAATATAACCGATTACAATATATTTTTATATCAGTCTTATTATTTTGACACTGACAATCATTTCAAAACAAAATTCCCATGGCTTGATTATAATTAAAAACTTTGTTTTAATTAATTGATTGGCAAAGCAGAACAAATATAAATCCCTATCAGGTAAAATTTAGTGATGGAGACTACCTCGGCTTACCAGAGAGGCGATTAGGGAAATGAATACTTGTACAAATGCCATATATAATTGTGTTGGAAATTGTCTTCCAAAACAATTTTACAAGGAGGCCTGGTCGTGGACCGGGCCGCGGGGACGTTGAACCCCGACATCATCACAAGGTGTGCTCTACAAATTTTGAAAATTTGAAATCAATATTTAAAAAATAAAGCATTATTGCATCTCAAAACAAAATTTTAATAAAAACCCTACTGCTGCCTGGCTTGAATAATAAGTTGTAATAGTAAGTTATCTTGTAGAAGACAACGTACTTCTTTAACTTTAAGAAGTAAGTAACTTTAACTTACTTCTTCAGCGTATCTTCTTTAATATGAAACAAATTTCGAGTTTTCGTTTAGATGTTTTGTTATGCCCCTGTTACATCAAAGGGTCACATAACTCGCTCTTTTAATCCTGGGGGTCAGATTCACGAAGGAGTTACGCAAGCATTTACGAACGTGTACATCTTTTCTAAATCTCCTGGGGCTTTGTTTACAATTATTAAACAGTTAATGAGTTCCGAAGCACCAGGAGGCTGTTTTCCAGACATACTTCTCTGGAAAGTCAGCAAGCAAAAAGGACATACTTTGATCTTCCAGCTGAAGTTTTACTTCTTTTCAGAGAAAAAGAAAGATTTCTCAGAAAAAATTAAAAGGGGAAGTATATTCATGACTTTATTAAGTTAGCTAATATATATTTTTTATAATTTGGATGTATAGTATTTAAAAACTTCACAGTTGTTCACTTTCCTCAGCAAACCCTCTTGAATATTAAGCCACTATAGGCTTCGAATTTGTTGGCTTAATATATCACAAGTTCTCAGACTCAGACCTAGATAACAACGTCTCCTTGTCCAGAGTAAAGATTTGTTACATGTAAAATTTGGGTTGTTAGGACTTCGAGCAACCCACAGCAATAGCAGCGAAGATCGTGGTCAAAAATCACACTTTAATTTGAGTGTGAGTGCAGTCAAGATTACTTAGAGTAAACATTGTGTTGTAGGGAAGATATGTTGTTATTGGTGACTATGTGAGTCAAGATGTAAACAAAGATATTTGGGCTCTGGGGATATGCACAGGGCTCTGCCACCCACAGTATCACACATGCATAACATAACTTTATTCATTCACAGACGGACGTAGAGCGTACTGGGTTGGTGGTAATGACCTTGTTATTGAAAGCAATTGGTACTGGGCCACGGGCGGCTCTGTACCGATGGGTAATCCTTACTGGTATCCAGGGAACCCAATAGTGGATGAAACGAAGAACTGTTTGGCCTTGCAAGGAAACTGGGGATACTTTCAAGACTGGTACTGTGAAAAAGAATTTTTCTTCGTCTGCGAGGAAACCTCTCTGTCATTGGCTCCCATCAACAGCATCTGAAAATATTGTTCTCCTGAACTTTGAATAAAATAAATGAGTATAATAAAAGTTTGAGTAAAGTTTTAATAGCACCCGATCCAACTTCAAATGTTAAATTTAGTCAAGGGTCTCCTCATTACCATGAGCTGATCGTATATGGACTTATACGATCCTCATCGTATGGTCATCATATATGATGATCGTATATAGATATAATATCACTAATAAATCATTTTAGTGCAATTACTTTGTCTGATATTACTAATCGTTTCAGGTATTAATGGTACGTTAGTTAGATACAAATAATATTTTTATGTACTTTTTCTAGCTATATGTCTAAACTAGATTTTGTCTAGTTAGATACAAGTTAACAATGCAGGCTTTGTGCATGAATTACTATTCCTTAGTTATCAAAGTTACAAAACCCATTGTTATCTCTTGGTTGTCAAAATAATAAGTCACTGTTACAGCACAAGTTATGATCAAAGCTAAATACAGACGGAAACAATCTTCAATTGTTTCAAGCATCTCAAGGAAGGCTCTCTCACGTTCATAAGATTGCAAACACAACATTAACAATCAACAGAAACGACTTACAATCAAGAATCATTAACTGATCAGTATCTCTCCTTTCACTGAAGTAATTAGAAAATAGTTTGTTAGTTTTTGATTACGCAGACACGAACAGCCTACTGGAACATAACCAATGTGGTTTTAGAACAGAGGACTTCAGAAGGACCTATCCCTCAGATACACCGATTGTTACATATCGTCACTTTGAGTTCTCGTTTCTCACCATTACTCTATATTTCCTCTCCAAGAGGTATTCCTCCCTACCTTTTATAGCACTCGTGCGGTTTTGTATTAGCGGGATAGTATCAATGGTTAATTAGCAATCGTATGTATGTGGTTGTTACTGTCTATGTGGTAATATTTAGCGCCAGTTAGTCTACCAACAATCATGCTTACTCCTAAGTCACCGACGGTGGGAACACCTCCAGGTGGCCAGCTTTGGGACGTCATACTCTTCGAAATTTATTAAAAAGTATATCTTATTTACACAAATAATTTATCTGGCTCTCTTGGTTGACACGAGGACTGGCGGTGCCTCAGTCCATGTTATCATCGCCCACTGTAAGAATAGCATAGTATCCCCTCCTTTATCGTCGGCGTCAGTGGGTATATAACCTCCACCAGCGCTGAAGGCTGGTCACTGCTGCCTCCACCGCCTTCAGCATGGCTCGCTTGTGTTATATTGTGGCGATGATTATGTTACCGTTGGCGTCTGCGTCAGGTAGGTGTTGGGAGCCGGATGGCCAGACGCCGGGTTGCTATAGTGATCAATATCAAACTGAATTTTAAACGAGCTTTCTAAATAGTGAGAAAAAGGTATCATGTAATCATGCAAATATTGAGAGAGTGCAACATTATCTTTTCCCCAAACCTTAATTACCAGCAAAATTAATATCTACTGGAAAAAAATACCATGCAAAATTTGTAACAGAATCTGAATAGTTTATTTATGAAGTTTAGATAATTCTTTACCTCCCTAAGAAAGTCAATTTGAGCCGTCGAACCTTTTGTGCATGTTTGTTTCTCGCAGGTTGCAACGATCCCTTCATCCCTATCAAAGGCAACTGCTTCTACGTCCACGACACGCCCATGAACTGGTGAGCCCTATGTATGTATACACACACACACACACACACACACACACACACACACACACACACACACACACACACACACACACACACACACACACACACACACACACACAGGGGCAGGGGCCTCGTAGCCTGGTGGATAGCGCGCAGGATTCGTAATTCTGTGGCGCGGGTTCGATTCCCGCACGAGGCAGAAACAAATGGGCAAAGTTTCTTTCACCCTGAATGCCCCTGTTACCTAGCAGTAAATAGGTACCTGGGAGTTAGTCAGCTGTCACGGGCTGCTTCCTGGGGTGTGTGTGTGTGTGTGTGGTGTGGAAAAAAAAAAGTAGTTAGTAAACAGTTGATTGACAGTTGAGAGGCGGGCCGAAAGAGCAGAGCTCAACCCCCGTAAAAACACAACTAGTAAACACACACACACACACATATATATATATATATATATATATATATATATATATATATATATATATATATATATATATATATATATATATATATATATATATATATATATATATATATATATTACTATATTTTGGTAGCAGTCTTTCCTGTAGACATATATTATTAAATATGACTGAAAAAGTAAGATTAATAATTCTAACACGAATTTTATCAATGTTTCTTATATTTTTCTTCACTGTTGATGGTAACTGAAAAATCAATTCTACAAAATTCATTTTTATTTCTAGTCTGACGCGACACTTGAACGCGTTTCGTAATAACTTATTACATTTCCAAAGACTTTAGTTTACACACACACAACTATAACCTGCAAACACTAAATAGATTTCTTACTATGCTATAATTCAAACGGCTTTTCATTTTATATACCTGCATTTGGGTGAGGTGATATGTTACAACAGTTTTGGATGAGGTGAAAACAAACTTTCAACACAAGACAGAACACGAAACAATGAGTATAATATTTTGTAAGTTAAAGGGAAGAAAGGAAGTAACTGCAAAGGGCCTATTGGCCCATATTTCTTGATGCTTCTATATTGGTGCTGAGTCTTGAAGTGGGTAGAATATAGTTGTGCATTAATTGGCTGTTGATTGCTGGTGTCGACTTCTTAATGTGTAGTGCCTCGCAGATATCAAGCCGCCTGCTATCGCTGTATCTATCGATGATTTCTGTGTTTTTTGTTAAGACTTCTCTGGTGATGGTCTGGTTGTGGGAAGAGATTATGTGTTCCTTAATGGAGCCCTGTTGCTTATGAATCGTTAATCACCTGGAAAGAGATGTTGTCTTGCCTACATACTGAATTCTTTGAGGCTTACAGTCCCCAAGTAGGCATTTGAAGGCATAGACGACATTGGTCTCTTTTTAAAGCGTTCTGCTTTGTGTCTGGAGAGTTTCTCATGAGTAGATTGGCCGTTTTCTTGGTTTTATAGTAGATCGTCAATTGTGTCTTCTGATTTTTGTCTGTAGGGATAACGTTTCTATTAACAATATCTTTCTGGACCCTTTCCTCCGTTTCATGAGCTGTGGAAAAGAAGTTCCTGTAAAATAGTCTAATAGAGGGTACAGGTGTTGTGTTAGTTGTCGGAAGGTGAAACGCCATGCAACCTCTGAAGAGACAACTAACACAACACCTGTACCCTCTATTAGACTATTTTACACGAACTTCTTTTCCACAGCTCATAAAACGGAGGAAAGGGTCCTGAAAGATATTGTCAGTAGAAACGTTATCCCTACAGACAAAAATCAGAAGATACAATTAACGATCTACTATAAAACCAAGAAAACGGCCAACCTACTCATGAGAAACTCTCCAGACACAAAGCAGAACGCTTTGAAAGTGACTAATGTCGTTTATGCCTTCAAATGCCCACTTGGGGACTGTAAGCCTCAAAGAATTCAGTATATAGGCAAGACAACAACATCTCTTTCCAGGCGATTAACGATGCATAAGCAACAGGGCTCCATTAGGGACATATAATCTCTTCCCACAACCAGACCATCACCAGAGAAGTCTTAACAAAAAAAAAAAAAAAAGAAATCATCGATAGATACAGCGATAGCAGGCGGCTTGATATCTGCGAGGCACTACACATTAAGAAGTCGACACCAGCAATCAACACCCAATTAATGCACAACTATATTCTACCCACTTCAAGACTCCGCACCAATATAGAAGCATCAAGAAATATGGGCCAATAGGCCCTTTGCAGTTACTTCCTTTCTTCCCTTTAACTTACAAAATATTATACTCATTGTTTCGTGTTCTGTCTTGTGTTGAAAGTTTGTTTTCACCTCATCCAAAACTGTTGTAACATATCACCTCACCCAAATGCAGGTATATAAAATGAAAAGCCGTTTGAATTATAGCATAGTAAGAAATCTGTTTAGTGTTTGCAGGTTATAGTTGTGTGTGTGTGTAAACTAAAGCCTTTGGAAATGTAATAAGTTATTACGAAACGCGTTCAAGTGTCGCGTCAGACTAGAAATAAAAATGAATTTTGGAGAATTGATTTTTCAGTTACCATCAACAGTGAAGAAAAATATAAGAAACATTGAGAAAATTCGTGTTAGAATTATTAATCTTACTTTTTCGGTCATATTAAATAATATATATATATATATATATATATACACCAGATATAGGTGTATTTGCGGCGAGGTGGTGGCTGACAGGTACGGTCACCATGGCCTACTCTGCCAAAGCACAGGGGGATGGCACTCGAGGCACAGTGAAGTTAACGACATCATCAAGAGGAGCCTCACCACAGCTGGATGCCCAGCTGAAAGACAGCCCCGTTACCTAACGCCCCGTAACTCTGATGCTCTTATTGGTCGCCCGGATGGTATCACAGTGAACCCCTGGAAGAATGGCAAGCAGTTGGTATGGGACTACACGTGCGTATCAACCCTGGCTAACACCTACATTAACCTCAGTGTTGCACAACCAGGTGGCGCTGCCACCCACAGGGAAGCAGCCAAATCCCGTAAGTATAGAGAACTGGATCACCACTACAATTTTGTCCCCATTGCTTCTGAGACGCTCGGCGCCTGGGGTAAAAGTGCTACCAGTTTTTTGAAGGAACTGGGTTCTAGGCTCATTGAAACAACAAGGGACCCGAGAGCTGCAAGCTTTCTTTTCCAGCGCCTCAGTGTGGCGATACAGAGGGGAAATGCGCACTGCATCCAGGGTTCCTGCCCGCCATCTGAGGAGCTGGAGGAACTCGACAACCTATGACAACCATCTTTGTAACCCATATGTAACTCCTTTTTTGTAACAAAGTTCAAATAAAGTAAATATATATGTGTACATACAAAAGAATGGGGGTGGTAGGAGAAGATAATATTAGTGTTCAGTGAGAAGCCACAAGGTCTCCTCTGAATACTTTTTATTTTCTTCTCCGAGGCTATGGGTCCCCACATTGGCACCAGAGGTGGTACCCTCACAAAATTTATATATATATATATATATATATATATATATATATATATATATATATATATATGAATTCATATAACAAAATATGAAATAACCACCTTGAGTTCCATCGATTACGTGTTGGAGGCGTTTTCATCTGAGTTACATGCAAGTCTATTCACAGGCATGATGCCAGGGACTACTGCTTGAGCCTGAGCACTGACGAATACTATTCAGATCTGGCACAAGTGCACTCCTGTAGCCAGCTGGGCGCTCTTTGGCAACACATTACCCTAGAGTGTAAGAACCCAATTCTCATAATTTGTCCTCGAGTTTTAGCTTTATGTAACTGGTAGCATTCATTTTGTATTTGTTCTTTTCATTCTTAACTCACGTGTTTCTGCGTTCGTTAATTTGTTTACTAAATCATTCAATTATTAAGTTTCTTATAATTTATTTAATTATTCATAAAGCAACTACAGTGGATTGTAAACATTACCGGCCACTCCAAATTTAAGAAACTCTATGGAAACGAAACCTTAAAACTTCAGACCTCAATGGAGTCGTTAGCTATCGTAATAGGAGCTAATCCTACTTAAAGAGGGGGTATGTGGGTCGATCCCCGACCCCCTATGACACTACTAACCATCACAAATCATCATGAAAAGGTGCGTGTGAGCCTAGCCAGTAGCGTCTGACCTCCAACCTCGGACTGTCAGGGCGACAGACAGATATACAGACACACACAGATAGAAATTTTATAGCTATACTGGATAGTATACCCTGCTGATCCTGGGTCATTAGGAAGAGTGAAGATGGGTAGAGAGAGAGGGGGGGGGGGAGAAGGGAGTAGAGAGGGGAAGGGAGGAGGAGGAAAGGGAGAGAGAGGCTATCTACCTCATCTAGCCAATAGCTATATCAATAATGGAGAAAAGCTGTTTGTGTGTGTGGTTGTATGTCCGACGTTGGAGACCAGAGGCCTGCGGCTAACTTCACACCACTTTGCATCATGAAGCATGTGGGGTAGGGGAGGGTCATAGGCTAGTCGGGGCCAGCTCCAGTGACACACTTTAAGAAATAGTGGCATCTACCTACCCCCCCCCCGTCTCCTTGTGCAAATTTTTATGAAGTCAAGTCGAAAAATTTTGGTTGTGTTGTCCGTAGAAATGGGGGGAGGGGGGGCAGAGAAAAAGAAGGGTTGGGAGGGGGATATTTAAAAAGAAAGAAGGAGAAAGAGAGAGGGGGGAGAAAAGTGGAGAGGGAGGGAGGTGAAAGAATGGGAAGGGAGGAGAGAGAGAGAGGAGGGAACGGCGGAATTGAGACCCGGACGTAGCTGTGTGTGTGTGTATATATATATATATATATGTCGTACCTAGTAGCCAGAACGCACTTCTCAGGCTACTATGCAAGGCCCGATTTGCCTAATAAGCCAAGTTTTCATGAATTAATGTTTTTTCGACTACCTAACCTACCTAACCTAACCTAACCTAACTTTTTATGCTACCTAACCTAACCTAACCTATAAAGATAGGTTAGGGTAGGTAGGGTTGGTTAGGTTCGGTCATATATCTACGTTAATTTTAACTCCAATAAAAAAACTGACCTCATACATAATTAAATGGGTAGCTTTATCATTTCATAAGAAAAAAATGAGAGAAAATATATTAATTCAGGAAAACTTGGCTTATTAGACAAATCGGGCCCTGCATAGTAGGCTGAGAAGTACGTTCCGGCTACTAGGTACGACATATATATATATATATATATATATATATATATATATATATATATATATATATATATGTCGTACCTAGTAGCCAGAACGTACTTCTCAGCCTACTATGCAGGGCCCGATTTGTCTAATAAGCCAAGTATATATATATATATATATATATATATATATATATATATATATATATATATATATATATATATATATATATATATATATATATATATATATATATATTACATCATATAATATAATATTACTGCTAATACCATTTTATTCACAGATGGGATTAGATGGCACTGGATTGGTGGTAATGACATTGCAACAGAACGCAGTTGGCACTGGGTCACTGGTGACACTGTGCCAAGAGGCAATCCCTACTGGTTCCCAGGACACCCCTATGTTAACCACACAATGAATTGCTTGGCCCTGACAAAGAACAGTGGATTCTTTACTGACTGGTTTTGTGAACAGACTGGGCCTTTCGTATGTGAACAGACCACACTGTTCTAAACCGCCCTAAACCTCAGCCGAAAAGAAGAATCATTTGCCCATGAATTGATATAATTTACTCTCAGTTTGATTAAGGACGAAACCGTGTAAAGGTTTGATAGTATTCGATCTGTTTAAACAATTGATTATCCTGTTGCCACCTCACCAACAAGAGTTGCCAATCATGTGGACTTATGATATCTCTTAATGCATCGACTGGTGCAATTGTTTTGTTAAATATTACTGGTCGTTTCAGGTATCAATGATGGTTTAGTTAGATACAACTTAACCATGCAGGATTTTTACAGAAATGATTAACTCTTGATTATCAAAGTAATAATACCCTTCATTATCGTTAATCACTTTTTACTCACCATACTGAATGTTAAAAATAATCCGATTATGAAACTCAGTAAAACAAATAAAACTAATAAAATCCCAGATGAAATGAGCTTTTGGTGACAATAAACTAACTTTTCAACAAGATGATTTAATTTAACCCAAATTTGTTTTAACCCACAACAGATTAATGATTACTTTTAACGACTAATAATCCTTTGACAACCACCGAGCTTATAATAGCTGACACTCAACCAAGCTTCCCCCACAACAAACTAGTAGATCCATATTGGCTTTTCAGCAACCCAGAGGACATTAGGTGAGGAACATTTCCATCGGAAAATTCTCTCCCACCTTCCACGAGAAAAATTTTCACTTAGTAAAAGCATTTCCTCAGGCTATATTGATATGCATCTTTGCAACAATAAGACGATAACAAAATATAGCCGATTACAATATATTGTTATATCAGTCTTATTATTTTGACACTGACAATCATTTCAAAACAAAATTCCCATGGCTTGATTAAAGTTAAAAACTTTGTTTTAATTAATTGATTGGCAAAGCAGAACAAATATAAATCCCTATCAGGTAAAATTTAGTGATGGAGGCTACCTCGGCTTACCAGAGAGGCAATTAAGGAAATGAATACTTGTACAAATGCCATATATAATTGTGTTGGAAATTGTCTTCCAAAACAATTTTACGAGGAGGCCTGGTCGTGGACCGGGCCGCGGGGTCGTTGAACCCCGACATCATCACAAGGTGTGCTCTACAAATTTAAAAATTTGAAATCAATATTTAAAAAGTAAAGCATTATTGCATCTCAAAACAAAATTTTAATAAAAACCCTACTGCTGCCTGGCTTGAATAATAAGTTGTAATAGTAAGTTATCTTGTAGAAGAAAACTTACTTCGTTAACTTTAAGAAGTAAGTAACTTTAACTTACTTCTTCAGCGTATCTTCTTTAACATGTAACAAATTTCGAGTTTTCGTTTAGATGTTCTGTTATGCCCCTGTTACATCAAAGGGTCACATAACTCGCTCTTTTAGACCTGAGGGCCAGATTCACGAAGGAGTTACGCAAGCACTTATGAACGTGTACATCTTTTCTCAATCTTCGGGGGCTTTGTTTACAATTATTAAACAGTTAATGAGTTCCGAAGCACCAGGAGGCTGTTTTCCAGACATACTTCTCTGGAAAGTCAGCAAGCAAGTAGGACATACTTTGATCTTCCAGCTGAAGTTTTACTTCTTTTCAGAGAAAAAGAAAGATTTCTCAGAAAAAATTAAAAGGGGGAAGTTTATTCATGACTTTACTAAATTAGCTAATATATATTTTTTATAATTTGAATGTATAGTATTTCAAAACTTCACAGTTGTTCACTTTCCTCAGCAAACCATCTTGAATATTAAGCCAATTTAGGCTTCGACTTTGTTGGCTTAATATATCACAAGTTTTAAGACTCAGACCTCGATAACAACGTCTCCTTGTCCAGAGTAAGGATTTGTTACATGTAAAATTTGGGTTTTTGGGACTTCGAGCAACCCACAGCAATAACAGCGAAGATCGTGGTCAAAAATCACACTTTAATTTGAATGTGAGTGCAGTCAAGATTACTTAGAGTAAACATTGTGTTGTAGGGAAGATATGTTGTTATTGGTGACTATGTGAGTCAAGATGTAAACAAAGATATTTGGGTTCTGGGGATATGCACAGGGCTGGGCCACCCACAGTATCACACATGCATAACATAACTTTATTCATTCCCAGATGGACGTAAAGCGTACTGGGTTGGTGGTAATGACCTTGTTATTGAAGGCGATTGGTACTGGGCCACGGGCGGCTCTGTACCGATGGGTAATCCTTACTGGTATCCAGGGAACCCAATAGTGGATGAAACGAAGAACTGTTTGGCCTTGCAAAGCTCCTGGGGATTCCTACAAGACTGGTACTGTTCAAGAGAATATTCCTTCGTCTGCGAGGAAACCTCTCTGTCATTGGCTCCCATCAACAGCATCTGAAAATATTGTTACCCTCAACTTTTAACAAAATAAATGAGTATAATAAAAGTTTGAGTAAGGTTTTAATAGCACCCGATCCAACTTCAAATGTTAAACTTAGTCAAGGGTCTCCTCATTACTATGAGCTGATCGTATATGGACTTATACGATTCTCATCGTATGGTCATCATATATGATCGTATATAGATATAATATCACTAATAAATCATTTTAGTGCAATTACTTTGTCTGATATTACTAATCGTTTCACGTATTAATGATACGTTAGTTAGATACAAATAATATTTTTATGTATTTTGTCTAGCTATATGTCTAACTAGATTTTGTCTAGTTAGATACAAGTTAACAATGCAGGCTTTGTGCATGAATTACTATTCCTTAGTTATCAAAGTTACAAAACCTATTGTTATCTCTTGGTTGTCAAAATAATAAGTCATTGTTACAGCACAAGTTATGATCAAAGCTAAATACAGACGGAAACAATCTTCAATTGTTTCAAGCATCTCAAGGAAGGCTCTCTCACGTTCATAAGATTGCAAACACTAACAATCAACAGTAACGACTTACAATCAACAATCAATAACTGATCAGTATCTCTCCTTTCACTGAAATAATGAGAAAATTGTTTATTAGTTTTTTTGATTACGCAGACACCAACAGTCTACTGGAACATAACCAATGTGGATTTAAAACAGAGTACTTCAGAGTACTTCAGAAACTTCACAAACTAAACTCCATAACAAAGTCTTAAGTGACTGTGCATAGAACATTACCCTAAATAACTAGCAGGTTCTAAGTTAACCTAAGTTATGCCTAAGTTAACCTTAGGCATAACCGTTCACAAAATTATATATTCACAGAATGCTCACAAAATTCTTTTCACAGAATTTATAATGAAATTAAATTGTATTGAAGATAATATTGATTTTCGCGACGTAATATATATATTAGGTTTTTCACACTAGTTTAAAAAGAGGGGAATTTAGTATTCTATATTTATGTGTCGACTTGGGTTCCTTGGGAACAACTCCAGGTGGTTTTTGAAGTTAATTTAATTTTCCTTAGAAGGTTATTATTATCTGGCTCTCTGTACCGGCTCTGTCAGTGGGTATATAAGTACCGTCAGTGCTGGAGAGGTCCCACTCCTGAAGAAATTCCAAAATGGTCAACATTAGCTGTGCCTTGTTGATAATTGTGCTCGCGCTGGCCTCAGGTTAGTGTTTGTAGTATAGTGACAGAGCATTTGGCTGTAGTGACAGAGCACTTGGGTATAGTGACAGGGCACTTGGGTATAGTGACAGAGCACTTGGGTATAGTGACAGGGCACTTGGGTATAGTGACAGAGCATTTGGCTGTAGTGACAGAGCACTTGGGTATAGTGACAGGGCACTTGGGTATAGTGACAGAGCATTTGGCTGTAGTGATAGAGCACTTGGGTATAGTGACAGGGCACTTGGGTATAGTGACAGAGCACTTGGGTATAGTGACAGGGCACTTGGGTATAGTGACAAGGCACTTGGGTATAGTGACAGAGCATTTGGCTGTAGTGACAGAGCACTTGGGTATAGTGACAGGGCACTTGGGTATAGTGACAGAGCATTTGGCTGTAGTGACAGAGCACTTGGGTATAGTGACAGGGCACTTGGGTATAGTGACAGAGCATTTGGCTGTAGTGACAGAGCACTTGGGTATAGTGACAGGGCACTTGGGTATAGTGACAGGGCACTTGGGTATAGTGATAGGGCACTTGGGTATACTGAGCAGCCATACGTGTGGGCGCATACAAGAGTCATTATGTTTACCTCCTTTGATCCTATACTCCAGCAGACGCCACGCTCATCTTCGACGCATCTGACGTAAAAGCGACGCCGGGGACGTCGCTGGCACTCTCCTGCGGCGTCAAGGAGGACTTTCGCTTGTGTTTCTGGGACCACGAAGACGGAAGGAGCTTCCAGGTACTCTAAAACTCTTTGTTTCTGTATTTGTTCACGTTATTTACCCTACTATTAATTCACCTTCCCTGGGACTCACACACAGTGCTCATCTGTGTTGGAGATTTTGTCAGCTCAGTGGGTAATGAATCCATGGTTTTGGGGTTACAATATCTTAGCATTTTCAGCATTGAGTAAATTGATGTTATGTTACTAATTCCCTTGTCAATATTTATATGTTGACTATAGCTTAGATCAACATATAAATGTTGATAATGATTTGTGGATGATGATTTGATTACATTTTCTTAATATTCCTCTCAAGGGTGTCGGAAAATCCGACACCATTTAATAATCATACAGATAATAGCTGTATTACCAACAAGTTACCCATAGAAAACGTAACTTGTAGTGGAATTACCGTCTATAGAAAACGGGATATCATCACCACATACTATTATAATTCACCAGCTATTCTGCTGGGAATTGTTCTTAAATACATTAGTCTTTGGACTTTACCATCATAAAAACATCTTATATAAATTAACTTAATTATCAATATTAAAGTAGAGTAAATGTGACCCTTCTATCACTTTCTGAAATGTGGACAATGTAAGCCAGGCGTCGGTGAGGAAGGGGGCAGCCATTGTTGTGTCACCTCCGAGACGTGTGGAGCAAATTCGGCTCCTATCATTCTGGACAATGTCGGCCAGTAACGTCAATAGTATGGAGTGTTAAACAGCCATTGTTTATAACGAGACCAGAGGCTCACACGGGAGCAAATTCGGCTCCTGTTAATTTTACTTGGACGTAGTGTTATGGAAACCAAAGGTACCATCTCCAACACGATGTCTACAATTCAAGTTAAGTGTTCTTTCCGAAACCCGTTTATCATTCATTTATGGCCATTAATGTCAGGACATAGGGTGACCCGGTTAGATCACGTGGAAGCCTCAAACTAAAGGTAATTAAGCCAGGTCTTTAATGTTCCATGTACAGTTTTCTCTGATATACTTGTCATATATAGGATTCTGGCTTCACAGCTAGTGCACTTTTGACAGGTCAAGACGAGGATGCAAGATTTTGTGCACCAGTTACTGGGTGATATGGAAGCTACCTCAAAGAGGATAATTTGGTGTCTACACCCTAGTTATACCTGGTGGACTAACCTGCTGTACTATAAGATAAGGAACCTCTTCAATGTATGTAGTTAATACTGTAGTTTGATTGGCTGCATATATAAATTTAATAAACCCCCCTAATGTGTAGAGGATCGATTTGTGAGATTAAGAGATTATTGCAGAAATACAGTCCACTTATCATTATACAAATTGCTATCGAAGTATATAAATTAACGTAAATATAAATTCATATAAATTAAATAAATATAAATCTCACAGGTCGGTACCCACATTATTTGGTCATCTTCGAACCGGATGACGGATTATTTGATCCTTTGAACCCACATTTGGTCATCTTAGTACCGGATGAACCAGTTAACCAGTGGATTCATTAAATATACTAGTGCAGTGTGATTTAAACAAAGCCAGTCAAGACGGCGGCGTTGACTCGTGCGAGTTCACGAGCCCCGCTCAGTTCAGTTAAGCCTTAGTCAGCGGTTTCATGCACACCCACAGATTTGGTGGCGTGTTATTCTGTGAAATGACAGCGCTAATATAGAAGCCAGCCAAATTAGTGACTGTGTCTTCGCGATATTGTTCACGGATTTCGTGGTGTTACATTTCGCGAGAGATTATCTACGAATTTTGTGGACTTTATTTCGCGAGGTCACTAATAATATTTAATACTTCTAGATAATATTAGAAGTTTCATAGAGGCAAATTAAGAGGCTATTATCAATAATTGTGTATATTATTTCTCCAAATAGAGAATTATTTAATATATATTGCACTAGTGATCACAGTATATTTACTAATTGCCAACCCACAACAGGGTAGGATATGACTAGTTGAACTATTATCGTTCATCCTAGTCCCATTATTACCATAGTCAGTTGTACTATATTGATTAACCTAGCACCATTAATGAATGGTCCAGACCCTATTTTGGGTGTAATTTTTATCAACTCGAGTTGAGGTGTATATATAATAATTACTTATGATCATTACACCTTTGAGTGATTAATTAGTGTCTATTCCATCCTAGGGTGATATTGAAGAGCTAACCTAAAGGTACTTCCAGTGACACTGGTTTATCACTCAAATCATTAGTGTGTATGATTGTATATATATAATGTGTATTAATTTTAAGTGCTAACCTCTAGTAGAGGTAGGATTATTGCCTAGTGAGTGCAGAATTTACCCTAGGCTACCATTAGAGCTTGTTCAGTATTATGAGCAGCCCAAGTACAAGCCCCACAAGGCTTCACCAACGAGCCAGTATGGATAATGCAGGGAGAATGAAAAGAACCCTTGCAGGTCTTAAAGGCCACTTAACAAGACAGATCAAGAAATGTGAAGATTTGTCACAACAATCAACAGTTGATTATGCTGACCTGGAAAGCTATTATCAAGCAGCTGCAGGTAAATTTGAGCAAATCAAATGCCAAATGGCTGTCCTTGTGGGGACAGACTACTACCATCAATTCATCGGTAGCCCTACTAAATATCAGGGTATAACCATGTTAAACTCTGCAGGAGGTAAATTACTCTCAGGCCCAGTATCAAGCCTGAGGAGACCTATGCCTGCAGATAAACAATACCAATAGAAATCTAAATTTGTCAGCTGATTATATTTCTCCAGTAGCATTATACTAAGGAGATTACAGCTGACTATACCAACAGAGGTTGATGTTAGTATCATCATTTGAAGCTGAAGATGAGTTCATGAGGCCTCAGTGGCAAATCAGTGAACAGTAGCCTAAACCAGCTACAAGTCACTGCGACCAATGTCACTGAATCCACTGCAGTCTCAGAACCATACTTTACTTTAATGATGAGCTATTCAGTCTTCTGAATCAATTAACTAAATTAAACCCCAATAAATCTGATGACTGATATGATACATTTATTATTTAATCAAGATGTATTCCATGGGCCTCAGTGTTTATATATCAGTGACCAGTTACCTGAAGAAACTTCAAGTTATATCTAATGTCACTGATCTCACTGCAGTCCCTGAATCATACTTGACTGTAGTACTTGATCACATTCAGTCTTCTGGGTTAAATAATATGTAATAAGGCTTGAATATTAGCCTTTCAAGAGTTAACAGGGAAATGAAATCGCATTAGACTTCTAACCCCTGTAACTCTAGTACGGGACATCCGTCCTGTACGAACAGACGCACAAATGTGTGATTACTAACTACTAACATCAAATTAATGTAATAATTCGAAGGAGGAGTATCGGTGTTCGTCTGTTCTAAATAGGACTTCGACCCGTGAGCAGCCCCCTGGGGAATTATGTCGGAAAATCCGACACCATTTAATAATCATACAGATAATAGCTGTATTACCAACAAGTTACCCATAGAAAACGTAACTTGTAGTGGAATTACCGTCTATAGAAAACGGGATATCATCACCACATACTATTATAATTCACCAGCTATTCTGCTGGGAATTGTTCTTAAATACATTAGTCTTTGGACTTTACCATCATAAAAACATCTTATATAAATTAACTTAATTATCAATATTAAAGTAGAGTAAATGTGACCCTTCTATCACTTTCTGAAATGTGGACAATGTAAGCCAGGCGTCGGTGAGGAAGGGGGGCAGCCATTGTTGTGTCACCTCCGAGACGTGTGGAGCAAATTCGGCTCCTATCATTCTGGACAATGTCGGCCAGTAACGTCAATAGTATGGAGTGTTAAACAGCCATTGTTTATAACGAGACCAGAGGCTCACACGGGAGCAAATTCGGCTCCTGTTAATTTTACTTGGACGTAGTGTTATGGAAACCAAAGGTACCATCTCCAACACGATGTCTACAATTCAAGTTAAGTGTTCTTTCCGAAACCCGTTTATCATTCATTTATGGCCATTAATGTCAGGATATAGGGTGACCCGGTTAGATCACGTGGAAGCCTCAAACTAAAGGTAATTAAGCCAGGTCTTTAATGTTCCATGTACAGTTTTCTCTGATATACTTGTCATATATAGGATTCTGGCTTCACAGCTAGCGCACTTTTGACAGGTCAAGACGAGGATGCAAGATTTTGTGCACCAGTTACTGGGTGATATGGAAGCTACCTCAAAGAGGATAATTTGGTGTCTACACCCTAGTTATACCTGGTGGACTAACCTGCTGTACTATAAGATAAGGAACCTCTTCAATGTATGTAGTTAATACTGTAGTTTGATTGGCTGCATATATAAATTTAATAAACCCCCCTAATGTGTAGAGGATCGATTTGTGAGATTAAGAGATTATTGCAGAAATACAGTCCACTTATCATTATACAAATTGCTATCGAAGTATATAAATTAACGTAAATATAAATTCATATAAATTAAATAAATATAAATCTCACAGGTCGGTACCCACAAAGGGACAGCTTCCTGGCAGCTCGTCTCTGCTTGTAGTCAAGGTGTGATCAGAGACGATTGGTCGAGGACGCCTTTTCCTCAATATTTAAAATTCCCAATGACATCCCTACGGTTCTTGACGTGTTGAGAACGTCCTCGTATCGATTCCTAAACAGGTTGAGGATGTCCACGCCGGCGTCCACCCGGGGTTGAGAGCGCCGGAGGACCTCATCGACAACCAGTGCGGCGTCGTCATCGACTCCGTCAGCGTTGAGGACTCAGGGGCGTGGACCTGCAGGGTCTTCCTGGCTGACAACGGCGGGGAACTACGCAATACCAAGATTGTCGCTGGTGGGTGAACATCTGTTTATCAGGCCTCCCGCTCCCAGCTGATTCAGACAGCTCTAAAAAGTACCTTACAGCTGCTTGAAGGAATAAGTTTACAAACCAGTTTACATATCACTGAACCTTACCGTTGTGTGGGGTATATCGTTTGGACTTTATAATAGGATCTTAACACATTCGAGATGAAATGACGAAATAATTACAATAGGAAATATAAAAGAAGCATAAAGGTATTAAGAAACATATGTAATGAAATCACAATAAGGTGATGGATCTATGAGGAAAAATTGAGGGAGTATAATTGGATCCTCTTGGGAATGCAAGGACGCGAGTTCGATCTTATTGTATAGCCCTATGTTCTTATTTTTCAAATGTGTATTCCTGTTTATGTTGATTTGTCTCCTCACAGCTTGTCATGACCCCTTCACATACGTCAGTGGCGGCTGCTTCTACTTTCACTCGACAGAGGGACTGAGCTGGTGAGTCACTGTGCCGTCTTGAGTCACTTATGAGTCGCTCTCTTAGATGGTGAGTATGTGTACCTTTACCCAGTGTAAGGGTACAGATCACAATCGTATTGGCATTTGCCTTTCCATTGGAGACTTTGGGCGCCGTGGAGAGAGGGGGGGGACCTGCTGCATGGGTAACAGCTTCTATCCCGTATCAACTTACCCTGGCTTTGCGCCCTGGAGAGGCCACTCCAGACCGACAACCAGAGCGCAACTCCATAGTCTCCTGAGATTGATGGATGCCTACTACTGCTACACAGTGTAAAGGACCCTATTAAAAATAATTTTGAGGCAATGGAGCGACTAACCCAGAACTCTGCTGAGTTCTCTGGGAGGTTTTGGAGGCTCGGAGCCGGAGCCCAACCAGGATTTTGCAGTTAACCCGACCACTCTCTGGCGTACGGTAGCGGCATTCCCACTCTGGGTTGCTGGACGCTTGTACCATCGTGGTTGAGTTGGTTAAGGCAGACGTCTGGGAGTCACCAGAACGCAAATTCAAGTCTCTCCAATGTATTAAAATGATTTTCTGTGATATATCACGCCATTGCGAAGGAACCCATTGTTAGCAGCCAGACTAAGGTTGTTAGGTTGTGTTGGGATAAGCCTCGGGCCAGTGAGTGGAACCGATTTGGCTACTCAGCGACATGTATATTGTTTTCTGTGTTGAGGGTGTTGAATGCACATAGTGCATTAAATTGTTTAACGTAGATTGTTGGAAATTACAAAATTAATGCTGCTTTCAGGTCACAAGGAAGAGACTACTGCCAGAGTCTGACAACTTCAGAGTATTACTCTGATCTGGCAACAGTACAAAGCTGTGACCAGCTTGGTGAAATCTGGCAACACATCGTCATAAATTGTAAGTAAATGCTGTTTTGTTTATCGTGTAATTATTTAAAATATTTAATGCTAGGTAAACTAAACAATTATGACTCGGAAGTACGCATTTTGAGTGAAAATGACTGGGTCTAATGCAGTTGAAATTGGTACTGTAAAATAAGTGAGTTATGTAACTAACTACACGACGATTGTAGCCGTTTAGTTATTGTGTCCCTATCCTCTAGGTCTATCTATCTATCATCTAGGGAAGACTGGGGATCTCCCCCCACAAAGTAGTCCTGAGATATTTGTCTCTCAGACTCCTGTTCTCGTTTTCCCTCTCAGAATGTTGGCAGATCTGAACAAATCATAGCTTTTTATACTAGTACTTTCAGGTCGTTGGGAGTCAGTAAGTTCTTTCCTATCAGATCTGAATGTTTGGACCAATACAGTTTTGACAGCAGAGATGGGGATACCTAGATCTAATTCAACTTCAAACTTGTTACACGCTAATTTGGCTGCAATGTCTGTCTCATTATGATGGGTTATATTTATGTGTGAAGGTATCCATACAAAGGAGATTCGAGACCCTTTACTCTGTGCATCAATTAGGTCATTTATAATTGGGAGTATTAGGTTCTTGCTGTCGATCTTCCAAGAGAAGTTTTCGATTGCTTGAAGAGCAGACTTTGAATCGCAGAATATTATTCCTCCTCCAATATTTTTTAATGTGCTGGTTGCTAAGTGTAATGCTGCTAGTTCTGCTTGTGTGGAGGTCAGCCAGTTGTTTAACCTGACACTGACAGACTTTGTGCAGATATTATTTCTATAAAACCTACATGCCGCTGCAGTCCGTCCAGTAGAAGACTGGACTGAGCCGTCGGTGTAGACACAGTGCTCGTGAGATCTTAGACTCTCGATGGAGGAGGCAATTGTTTCAAGAGTGACAGCTTTGAGTAGAGCAAGATTCTCATTATCTTTCTTGGTGACAGGTGTGTATGATACTTGAATGGTGGGGTACAGATAAAGAGGAATATCAGAGACTGGTAGATTGCACTTAAAAGGAATGTTAAGTTTAATGAGATTGTAAGCATTGTTTCTCAGCCAATTATCATAAAAGGAGTGAGTTGGTATGTCGGCACCAGTCAAAAGGGTGTTAACAGCACTAAATAATTTGTCTCTGAGCAATGCAGGAGATGTAGGATCTCTCATGACTTTAAGACAGAAGGTAGTGTTAACTTGCATTATTCTCTCTAGTATGGTTGGAAACTTCAGTTCTTCCCTCATGTTGATGATTCTTGTGCATCTTGGGGCACCAAGAATTATCCTCATGGCCTCGTTCTGTATTACTTCGAAGGGGAGGACCTACTGTGTTAAACTCTACGTTCATCAACGACATATTTCGCTATTGACTCCTTGACATAACCTGGGAGTGGTTATAATTGCCAATATTTCTTAAAGTATTTAATTGAGGCCTACCCTGACCAACCTGTGTCCATCCTGTACGGCAGACCAATCACCCTGCAAATGTGCGTGAGACTAGCCTCAGATGTCTGGTTTAAAGCTATTTTATACAGCAGTTTTATATAATATTATTCATTTTAATACCACAATTATGTCACATTTTAATCTATAAATTCTTTCGACCCACAGACGAAAATCCACCAATGTTCTTCATTGGTGGAACAGACGTTAACGAAGAGGGTAACTGGCACTGGGTCACCGGGGGCACTGTGCCCAGAAGTGCCCCATTCTGGTACCCACGTCACCCTCAAGTAGATACCACCAGGAACTGCTTGTATATACAAGCAGCTTCAGGGTATTTCGCTGATGCCTCCTGTTCCTCTGTGATTCCGTGCATCTGTGAGGAATTTAGCTACGATACAGGTCTTGAACTGTGAGAAGAAATGTATGTATGACGCTAGTTCGCTTGGAGGGGATGTGTGAACAGGATGGGAGATTGGATATGTGGACAGGATATAAGCAAGAATATTAGAACAGGATAAGAGCATGAATATGTTGACAGGATAGGGGGTTGGGTAAAGGGTTGAAGAAACAATGCCCAACCACTTTCACCTTCGGGGCTCGAACGTCGACAGTACACGAAATGAAGCCTCCGCTCTACACACCAGGAGAGATGATGTCACTGTCCTCAGATTCTGGTTGTAAACAACTGCAAAAAAGCTCCACTAACTACAATTTTGTAGCAGAAAATAAACTAGTGAATCAGATCTGCATTTTCTTATAATCCTTCAAAGTAATAGTTATCAAAAAATAGTTATAAATGTAGCTATACACAATGAAAGTGATATCGTACTATGGCTCACAACCCCAGGATATCCATCAGTGGATACACAACCCCAGGTGAGGCTGCGACCTGGTCGCAGTGAGGTGCGGACGTGCTGCCTGATCTATCCAGCTGTTGATGTCTCGCCCTCGCGTGCGGTTTTCCGGGGTGTCGCTGGCCCCTGTTCCCAGCTTTCCCTGCGTGATGGAGGTGCCCTTGCCCCCTTATGTTGCGGTCAAGGACGATTGGGCTTGGATACTCAGGCCTTGCGGACTACCCTTCTGTGGCCTTGTTTGACGTGTTGGACGTTGACACTGGTTACGTTTATAGCGTGCAAGTGATTACTCAGCATCGGGCTGGGGTCAAGCTCGGTACTGAGTCTAATCGGGACGTTCTGCGTCGGTTTGACGGACGCATGTTCCGGTCGCTGCTGGGACTGTGTCGTTGGCCGCCGTGGGGGTCGGGCCCCGTTTCGAGGATCAGTGTGCCGCCGGATATCTGCCTCCTGTGTGGGTGAACACCTTGAGACCTAACTTTGATTATTTCGGAATTTATGCGGCGCTCCATGCCGCCGCCTGGCGATCGCCTTTGCAAGTGGGACTGGGCGGTCTGGGAGACATACTCTCCGCTGTACCCTATGGCTGAATTTCCTGCATAAGTATCTGTCGGCGTGGATTTGGGTTGCTGTGTTTGCTCTAATGTTTTTGTATTTGTGATTGTCTCCCTGTGTTCGGTGATTGTGTTATGTTTTTGTTTTTTATTTTTGTCTGTGTTTCCGTGTGCTTTACTTGTTCTTCTGTACTTGTGCTGTAGTTGTTGTTCGGTGGTCTGTTTTTTTTGGGTTGATTCAGTGCCTTTTATTTTTTGTATTGCTGTTGCATGTCGTTGGCATGTTAAATTAAAAATAATTTGTCATTAGCGAGCAATATCTTAAGTCAATTGAAAGCAAATATTTAAAATCATCCAGTGTTGTGTCGGCAACTTTGGGTTGATGGGTTTGTTAGTCTGTTATTGCATATATTGTATATTGTAGTTGTCGAGCGGCCATTAACAGTTCTTGACTGACGGACGATTACTTCTTCACTGCCGATTCTATTGCAAATGTTGCTCTGTTGTACCCGTTGTTCTGTTGCAATATTTACAACAGAATGTTGTATTTTGTTTGTGAATTAGATTTTTAAATTAACAACTTCAAACATTCAAGCTGGGGATCATTATTGGTTCATTAGAGACTCGTTCGTATTTGGGGAAGTGAAGGAGTGGCTGTTGGCCATTGTTAATTGCCACTTCAGACTCGGAAAATGTTAACCAATGAGATGAGTTTTAGGGTGAATGTCAACCAATCAGCGGCCGGGTTTGGTGGGCTGCTGGGTATAAAAGGGACGATGTGACTAAAAGCACTTCAGTGTGTTGTACCTCACTTGTGATATACAGTTCCACCTTCGTCTCTTGGAGGTGAGCTGTATGGTGAGGATCCCCTCTCCTTTCTCCGCCCCTTGCTGCGTGCCCCGCCCCCCCCCGTGTCGTGCGTCGATGTAGATATAATTTTAGTTATGGATAACCAGTAGAGTTTTCTACCAAATTATGAACTAGGTTCTGTTTATATTCTCTCCATCCATTGTATTTCTTTAACCATCAACGCTAATTATAAAAGCTGTCGTATATATTATAATATTGTTTTTAAAGTAGCATTTCAGTAGATTGTATCGCACAACTTTTTGTATTAGAATTATTTGCGGAACGCGCATCTTGACGGAATAATTCCTGACTGTATCTGAAAGTTAACTACCGGTTCGTATTGAAATTATCAGCGCCCCGGTGGTTTGTGTAGTCAGAAGCTTGACAAACGCGCCTTAAGTACAATTTCAGATGCTAGTCTCTAGACACTTCCCCCCCCCCACAGTGGATTACTCTAGCAGTTGGAAAAGTATTTGCTAATGCATAAATAGCCCCCTGAACGTAGTTTATTCAAATTACGTAGGACAATTAACACATGAACTTGTGAAATAGACGGTTGATAAACTTTGGTGTAAACTAAAAGACTTGTCAGTCAACTTTCTAACAAGGCGAAGCATTAATGCATCTTATATAGGTATTATTTCTTGGCAATTCCCCCTCCCTCAAATGTTCGTTTGAGCGTCTGATCTTTTAGTCTACAAACATCTAGGTTATCAACGCAAGCCTAGAACTAATTTAACTTTGAAACCAATCTCCTGTTGAACTGTCTCTTGTAATTACATAGTTCTTGAATATAATTTTTACATTGGCTTGCCTTTTAGTAACCATATTCTTGCACCCAGGGTTAGTCTAAATGGAATCTTAAATTGGTATTACTTTCCAGAATGCTGCTGCTTGAAGTACTGGTGTGGGGTCTGTGGGGACCACTACATGGCCCAAAGACTGCTTCCTGGTGTTCTTCAGGTCTCCTGAGCAAAACCCGTTACCTGTACCAGTTTTCATCTCGCCTCTCCCTTCCCTAAAGTCCTACAGGGAAAGTCTCTCCAGTTCTCCCAAAAGACTAACCGCTTTAAAGTTTCTTTAAAGTTCGATATTACGTCCAACAGTTCACTCTTCAAGCGGCACCCTTGTTCTTCCATCCCTGCATTTAAGATGCCCCAGCTTCCTGTGGTACCGCGGCTCTCAGCCTTAAAGGCCACAGGAAACTAGACGCTACATACTGTGGCATACCTGGTGACATGGTAAGTAAAATGTTTGATTTTTGGTCTGATTTAGATTAAGAGTAATGTGCTTAAAGTTCCCAAGATGTAGTTTTGACTCAACATAGCTGTTATTGGTCCCCTTTTAGTAACTTAAGATTAATTTCCTTTAAGTTGTTTTAGATACATGAAAACTAGGGCTGGTAAGAACTACCCTTTCTCATGGTGCATGAATGCTAACGCCTTCAGCTGGGATAAAGCTAACTCCTACCGCTAGTCTTAGCAGAGGCTTCCAGCTAGTTCTTGTCAAAAGACGAGGATAAGGAAGACTCCATAAAGATCGTTGTCAGAGGTCAGTTTACTGATTAGTGTTTAACATGGTTATAACAAATTTCAATGTGCCTTAAATTTTATGGTCATCCTGCTGGACTAAAATTAACTAAATGGCTAAAATTTGTTCTAAAACTACCTAATATTTTCTAGGTGGGATCCAGTGCATCTAGACAAATGGCAACGAGCGAGGCGCCACGACCTAGAGGTGGTCATCAGGGTAAACTTACTTAACTATTCTCGTACTACAGGGTTCGTATGGCTCTTTTTACTTAGTCATAAGCTAGGCGGTGTTTCGTAGGTTTTAAAGTGTAGGTTACTCAAAAGGGCGTCACCGCCTGTAAATCTTAACTCTTAGCCTCTTAACTTGTCACAAAGTTTCTAAATTGTTATAAGGAATATAGTTCTGATAACTCCCGAGTCCCCAGGCTCGGGCGACCACGTCCAGGCAACGAGGACTGTCGGAGTACAGAAGAACATTTATAACGATATAAAGTGGCAAGACATTGTCACGTCACGTCTGTGATACCAGCCTTTGATATTTCTTTTGTTGACAGAAAATTGCGTGGTTTACTGAATAGTAAAGTTGTAAAATAAAATTTAAATTAGCGCACAATTTTCTTGCATAACTTAGCCAGGAAGTCTCTTAATGCTTCGATTCTATAAAACTTTCCACTAAGGACCTAAAGTGGCGTTAGGGTAATGTGTCTAGTTTTGTCTTAGGAAAAATTAATATCTTGTCGGTTAAGAAAACTAATAATGGCTTATGACTTGTCATTGTGACACGGCAACAATTAAAGGATGGGGGGGGGGGGGGGAGAAGGGTATAAGTGAACCTCCGTATGGAGAAAAGTAACAAACCCCACTTACAGACCAGTGTGTGTGTGGGTGGATTACTATAATAAAGAATTTTGCATGAAATTCTAAGACGTTAAAAAAACAAACGTACATACCTCAAGTTTTCAATGAAATTGTTTATCAAAACTTGGAACGAGATAAATGTTGAACTTATTCCATCTACACGTTTAAATTGTGTGAACAAATTTTTCCATTGGTAATGAACTTAGTTAAAGAGGAATTTCTACTTTAAGAATAAAAGATTTCAGTCGTCTATAAATGGGCTGGCAACAAGAGTAAATTCAGCCTCCTGAATTGGAGATTACTGAAATCACGCTCGCTGTAGTTTCACCTCCCACTGTAGGGCAGTGACCTGCATCTTGAGACGCCCTGGAGCGAGAGTACAGATGCTGGGGCTGTCCCCTGAACGGAAATAGTTTCGTGAACACTAACGCTAGTCTCCTGCGTTGTTCCCGTATTACTGACTCCATTAATCCCAGCAACTTTTAAGATCTGTTCCACTAGTCGGAGCTAAAAATTTCCATCTGATGCTGCTGACATGGTTTCGTGTAAGAGGTAAAACCTACATTAGCAGTACCTAATGAGTGGGATTGGGTGGTTATAGAATAGGAGCTGCCTCGTATGGGCCAATAGACCTTCTGCAGTTACCTTTGTTCTTATGTTATGTTACCGTTGATGTTTTGAAAGAAAGCAGTTAGACGTATCTGCCACTTAATTTTGGGTTGCTTGTCCAGTTAAAATTCCATCTTTGAATCTTTGAATAAGAGGCAGTAGGAGTGAGACATTTAATACTAGTGGTTATTAAGACTATTCCTACTTGTCATTTACTGCTGTATCCATCTGGACTTCTGTATCAAAGAATAGAAAGTACTTCATAGCGTCTACAGGTACACATTAGTTGATAGTTCATAACTTGGAGATCCACATGACTAACAGGTCTGAGCTTGTCCTCCAACTTCATTACTTTAGACTTGGGGTCCAATGTAATGCATAAAGAGAAACTGCTTGAAGCAAGACACTTCACCCCATAGGGTTTAAACGCAAGGAACCGCCGAAGCTGTCGGCAAAAGTTATACATGTTTAATAGTTTCTTTATTACCTATTTATAAAAGTTGCCTCGACGGGAACAGGAAACTAACGTAGAGATGGTGGCCCTCCTGGTAATCCTGACTTCATGCGTGAATTTACCAGTCCTAGACCCCTTCTGGTGGATGGACAAGTAATTATCACTGGCTCCTCGGATATTCAAAAGGAACACTGCCAATATAGGAACAAAAGTAGAGCGATATCAAAGGCATCACTCGCTAACCATTATCTCGGCCCTGGAAAATAATTTGCTCGAAGCTACATTCTTGAAGTAGACTTATTCCAAATAAGATTGTTATCCGTTGAGATCCATCAGCATGTTCGCTGCACGGTCACTAAACATTGTCTGCATAAGTCGCTTACACTGAACCCCCCTCCCCTTCCGGCCCGTTGGCGTCGTGAGGGGGCTTGGTGGACAGCTGCCGGAGTGTGATGCTCCGTTGGGCAGTCCTCTGTCCTTTTCTGGCCTTGCACTCCTGCTGCTGTCTTCTCCAATTGTGCCGGATCGCTTTTCCTTTTCCTTATGTTTCGTTTTTCTCCCCCCTCTTCTCCTATCTGCTTGTCGTTTCCTGCCGACCTTTTGCTTGTTTTGGATTCTTTCTTTGGACTTCTTCTATTTTGACGCCCGGGTGCTTGAGGAGGCATACTCTTGCACCCGTAGAACTGTAGTACCCGACGTCTCGAGCGAGGGGAACCTTTTATTGTCAATCCCCCTTTCGTCGCTGAACCCGATCTCGACGGACTGACGGTTCTTAAGGTGGCGTTTGTGGGGCGTATACTCACGACGCACCCCTAGGGGGCCCCGGCATGATCAGCGATAGCTTCCTGTTGGGTGTCCTGCCTCTAATTGTGGCTCCATGGTGGGTATGGGGGCACACTCGTGGATGAATTTGTCACTTTTCGTCTCTATGTCGTTGAATGTTTCCGTTGTACCCTCTCAGGCTCGTGGGGTGGGCGACCAAGCCCCCGAGTCGGCCTGTATTGGAAGACCAGGCTCTGTAGCTCCCGCTGCGTTGGGCCCCGACCTTGCTCCTCCTTTGACCGTCCTGACTTCTTCCCCCAGCTCCCCTCCCTCCTCTGAGGTTGGGTCGAGCCTCCAGCCCCCGGTGGTGACCACTTCGTCCCCTGGTGTGGCTAAGTCTTTCGTTGTGACTACTGCGCCTTTTGACCCCTCTCTCTCTAGGGGTTCTCAACGCCGTTCGCGCCCCAACCGCACTCGCTCGATTCCTTCCCGTGCTGATGCGTATCAGGCCTTGTTTGGTCCTGCTTCATGGGCCAAATACTTTGATCTCCTCCCTCTTGATTCTGCGCCTCCTGACGATTTCTCCCTCCATCGGCATCTTGTAGATTCCGTGGATGCGTGTGTTACTTTCAACCCCACTCGTCTCGGTACACGTGTCGTTGCTGCTCCTTCTCAGGATGCGGCTTCCCGCTTGGCTGCCTTATCTTGCCTTGGCGAGATCCCTGTTTGGGTCTCCAAGAACGTTCAGATGAATTCCAGTGTTGGCACTATTCTCCTCCCACCCCATGTTGCAACCGGTGTTCGGAATCTGCAGGATTGCCACGATGATATTCGGCATATCCTTGATGCCCAAGGCCATTCTGTCCTCCAGGTTGACTCGTTTACTCGTCCCCCTCGTGGTCGTCGCCGTCAACCCCTTCGCGTTGTGAAGATCACCTTTGATGGTAGGACCCTTCCATCCTCTGTCATTCTTGCTGGTGCTAGGTGCTCTGTCCAGGAGTATATTCCTTCTCCTCGACTTTGTAATAAGTGCTGGAGGTTTGGGCATGGTGCCCTCCGCTGCTCTGGGACTGTCTCTCTCTGTCCTTTGTGTGGGAGTGAAGGTCACTAAGTCGGAGTGCACTTCTCCCCAAGCTCGCTGCCTCAACTGCGGTGAGGCCCATCCTACGTTCTCCCGTGCGTGTGTCCATTACAAGCTTGAGGCGGCCGTCCTTAACCTGAAGCACCGGGAGCGTTTGTCTTTTCCTGAGGCGAGGCGCCAGGTTCGCCGGCTCCCGCCTTATACTAACATCTCTTATGCTCGCGTGTTGCGCTCTTCCTCTCCTCGTCCTTCCCCCCCTCCTCAGACTCTCAACCGTTTCTGGGCCTTGGACCCTGATACGCCCACTGCCCCCTCCTCTGTTCCTTTGAGTTCTTTCCCGAGGGGTCCCCCTCCTGGTCCTCTGTCTGGGGTTCCCCTTCTTTCGACCCGGTCTGTCATGTCTCCTGTGTCTTCTTCCTCGTCCCCCTCCGATCCTCCTTCCCATCCTCTTCCTCCATCTATCGGCTCTCCCCGCCGCCTGTCGGTGCAGGCGGATGTCCATCGCTCTCCTAACGGCCGTCGTGTGTGCTCTCGTTCGGCTTCTCCTGTTGAGACACTGGAATCCGTTGCCCGGTACGTAGTTGCTGGGACACCTGTCTCTTTAAGTCAGAAGCGTAAGCCTGGCTCCTCTCCTTCCTCTTCCCCGGAGGGTAAGAAGGCTTCGCTTTCTTCCTTAGCTCCTACTTCTGGCTCTGTTGCTCCTTCCCCTCCCGTTTCAGTGGTTGCGCCCCCTGTTCCTGCTATGGAGGTTTCTTTGGCCCCTGCTTCCCTTTCGGTTGCTGCTCTTGCTGGGGTGCGCTCCCCTCTTTCTACTCCCCCTCTTCCTACTGCTGTCCTTGACTGCTCCTCTCCGTTGTCTCCTCCTCTTCCTCCTCCTCCTCCGGACCCCGCCCGCCCACCTCTGATCTGTTCTCCCGTTTCCTTCCCTCCGTCTTTGCTCAGTTTACCCATGCCCCCTAACCCTGACTTTGCTGACCCTGATCCCGACCCTGATATTCTTTAACGTGCTCTGTTGCTCTTTCGCCTTTGTTTCTTCCTTGTTCTCTGTTTTTGTCCTTTCTCTTCCCGTCGTTGTCCATTCTTCAATGGAACGTTCGAGGTTATTACGCCAATTTCCTCGAACTCCAACTTCTGATTTCGCGGTTTTCGCCCCTTTGTGTCTGTCTCCAGGAGCCAATGCTTGGTGCTCGTCCTGGTCGTTTTCGTGGCTATTCCTTTCTCTCCCCCCCCCCCCAGCCATTGCTGGGGCTTCTAATTCTTCTGCTCTCTTGATTCGTGCAGATGTTCCCTTTGTTCCTTTACTTTTTCCTTCGCCTCTCCATTGTTCTGCTGCTCGTATCTTTGTGGGGAAATGGTACACAGTTTGTTCCATTTATCTCCCCCCGAGTGTCCCGCTCTCTCTTCCTGATTTGAAACACCTCCTAGACTCCTTGCCGGAGCCTGTGCTCCTGCTGGGTGACTTCAATTGTCGTCATTCTCTTTGGGGTGACGTTCTGACGAATACCCGGGGTCGCCTCCTTGAGCCGTTTCTCCTATCTTCTTCCCTGTCTCTTCTGAATTCTGGTGAGCCCACTCATTTGGACTCTCGGACTCGCGCCCTTTCTTGTCTTGATCTTTCTCTCTGCTCTTCTTCTCTTTACTTGGATTTCACGTGGCAGGTTCTTGATGACCTCCATGGAAGTGATCATTTCCCCATCCTTGTTTCCTTTTTCTCTTTTCGCCCTTCCCTCTCTTTCCCTAGGTGGCAGTTTGCTAAGGCAGACTGGACCCTATTTACCCTCAGTGCTGCTCTCTCTCTGAC